CATAATATTTACCCATCAATTGTTGCATGATAATTGCATTTCATTTTCATTCTGTTTAATATTCAACAAGTTGAACAGATAATCCACACGAACCCCGCTACTTGGTATCGGTATCGGTGAGAACCTAAACTGAAGTACTCGTACTTGTACCCAGTCTTGAAAAAACTGGTATCGGGACACCCCTATATTTGACAGGACACTACGGTGAGTTCCAGTGTTGCTAATTATGGACCAAAGCTAATGTTTGGAGGAAAACAAATGCCCAGAGAACTTTGTTCCCTTGTTTTCAACATGTGATCAAAGTGAGCAGGATAGGATCACATATGTGGTTCTGCTTGTTATCTAAAGGTTCATCTCTTGTGGATTAAAAAAACATCTGGAAATTTGAAACAAAATACTTGGTTGTAGCTTTTTTTGGGTATGCCTGAGCCTTTGTCATTTTTGAAGCATTGTTGATATGTCTACATCCCTCTCTTGGATGGATTACCATCAAGGGTGCTCAGTAATTTGAGTCCGTGATGAGTTCAGGATCCATGAGGAGACCTTTAATGAGATTTTTTTGAAGGTGTTATTGATATTAATTTTGTGGCTGTGTGTAGCTCACTAGTGGTGGCCTTCCAAAATCATGTGCTCAGTGTGACATAAAATTGAAAAGAAAAGTTAATTGAAAATCAAAAAATACCCTGTAACGTGTGTCTGACAGGTTTTTTCTCCTGTAGTAGGGAATTGTGGCAAACCAAAAAGCTGAGTCTTTCAGAAACTGCTACTGTCTGTGTAAAGTTGGACTAAATTTGATTTAAGTTAAGAATTGGGGTAAAATCTTAACAAAAAAACAGTATGGATCAATGAGGTACATCAGCATCACTTCTCTTCCACAGTGTGTGTAGAAAACATGTCATTGACAACAAATAAATTGCTTTTATGACCATGATTTTTCTTTAATTTATGTAATTACTTCCAGCTGGTCTCATGATAATCTTTTTCATTTTTGTTTCTATCACCAAATGTCAATGATACAAAACTATTTGTGATTATGACAAAGATGCTGCTTGGGAGAAAATCTTTATCAATTATTGCTACTACAGTACTACCTCAGGATTAGGGTCTACATATAAAGCCATAACTATTGAAGCTACTGTTAATCCATAAATGTTTACTGGGCTTTGAGAGCTGCATAAAACATTTCTTTTACAAAATTGTTCTGCTTTAGTCAACTAAAAAAACTGTCTTTGTTAGATATAATTATTGCCACTTACTGGTTCTATTTCTACTGCTCTCCTTTAGGTTCCTGCTTTAAGAAGAACAAAGACTAGATTTGGAAGATTCAATATGTGAAGGATTTCCTATTGAGCCAGAAAATGTGCACATTTGTGATAGCAGCAGCTCTCCACAACCTCCTGGATCCATGACCAGTCATGCCATCCCTTTATCACTCATCGAGGGACCTCCCCTCCACGTGTGCAGGACTGGTTCCATACACAGATTTTTAAAATTGCTAAACCTCATAATGGAAATGGCAACAACTTGCGTGGGCTACTACACAGAGTACATATTAGATCACAGGTGAGGCTCAGCCTCTACCTGCCATACCTGGAGGAGTCAGAGGAGATACACATCTGCAGAAGACCTTTACAGTTCGCCAGAGACGCACCCCAGCTTTAATGATTTAGGATCAATCCCACTACCTGTGGACAAGGTCAACCATGGCTGCTGCTGCTTCCCATAGCAATAGTTCCTCGATGGGGCAAAGAACAGTTTGAACGGGTCAACAATGCAACGCAACATTGGTGGAGTAGGTGTTGGAGGCCAGCCATGGGTGTTGCGCCGGGTGCGTCTCACATGGCTCAGTTTTATGCTCTTCTTCATACTGGTCTTCTTCCCACTAATTGCGCACTACTACCTCACCACCATCGACGAAGCTGGCGGTCCAGATAAGCCCATATTCGGGCGCCGGCCCGGGGGTGAACTGTGCGAGGCTAAACACGTGCAGGACTTGTGCCGCATCCGCGAGTCCGTCAGCGAGGAGCTGCTGCAGCTCGAGGCCAAGAGGCAGGAGCTCAACGGGGAGATCACCAGACTGAACCTCCGGATCGAAGCTTGTAAGCGCAGCATCGACAGCGCCAAGCAGGATCTGCTACAGCTGAAGAATGTCATAAGCCAGACAGAGCATTCCTATAAAGAACTGATGGCTCAGAACCAGCCCAAGCTCTCGTTGCCTGTCAGGTTGCTGCCAGACAAGGAGGACCCAGGACTACCACCACCAAAGTCGGTGCGTTTCTGCCGCTTGCGCTCATGCTTTGACTATGCGCGCTGTCCTCTGACATCTGGGTTTCCTGTGTACGTCTATGACATGGGCTCTTACTCGTGGGGGGACTATCTGGACCCACTTGTGAAGCAGGCTTTTGCAGCATCTGTTAAGAGCAACATTTATGTAACGGATAACCCCAACATTGCCTGTTTATATTTGGTTCTGGTGGGAGAGATACAGGAAACCTCCCCTCTACCATCCCCCTTAGAATTAGAAAAGCAGCTGAAAGCTCTTCCTTACTGGAGATCCGATGGACACAACCATGTGTTGGTGCATCTCTCCAGAAAGTCTATGATACAGAACTTTCTTTATAATGTGAGTACGGGGCGAGCAGCAGTCGCTCAGTCCACTTTCCTGGAGCAGCAGTACCGTGAAGGCTTCGACTTGGTTGTATCCCCACTGGTTCATGCTCTTTCAGAACCCAACTTTTTGGAAGTACCACCTCAAGTTCCTGTAAAGAGGAAGTACCTTTTCACTTTTCAGGGTGAGAGGGTGGAGTCTCTTCGGAGCAGCTTACAGGAAGCACCTCCTCAGTCTTTTGAGGAGGAGCTGGAGGGAGATCCACCAGCTGACTATGACGATCGAATAATTGGCACTTTAAAAGCTGTCCAGGACAGCCACCTGGACCAGGTGCTGGTAGAGTTTACCTGCAAGAACCCAAAGCCAAGTTTGCCAACAGAATGGGCTCTCTGTGGGGAAAGAGAGGATAGGCTGGAGGTACTTAAGGCTTCTACGTTTGCCCTGGTGATCGCCCCGGGGGATGGACAACTCGTATCCTCGGCAGGCTCTGGCATGAGGCTGTTTGAAGCCTTAGAAGTGGGGGCAATCCCTGTTGTGTTAGGAGACCACTCTAAACTACCGTACCACCAGTTAATCCGCTGGAGTGAAGCTGCCATTATAGTCCCAAAACCCCGTGTCACAGAGCTTCACTTTCTGTTGCGTAGCCTATCAGATAACGACCTGCTCGATATGAGGCGGCAGGGTCGCTTTCTGTGGGAGACCTACTTCTCAACCTCAGAGAATGTCCTCAATACCATCCTAGCAAGTATCAGAACCAGCATCCAGGTGCCGGCAGCGCCAATCAAGGATGCGCCTGCCATTGAAATTCCTCACAAAGCTGGGAAACTGGCAGGAACCGACGCCAACCTGGCCGACAACGGGGATCTGGATCTGGGTCCTGTTGAGACAGAGCCTCCCTATGCCTCTCCTCGCTTCCTCCGCAACTTCACCTACACAGCTGCAGACACCTATAGAGCATGGAACCGGGCCCCGGGGCCTTTCCATCTGTTTCCCCACACACCCCTAGACCCTGTGCTGCCCTCTGAAGCCAAATTCCTTGGCTCGGGTACCGGCTTCAGACCTATTGGCGGAGGCTCCGGAGGCTCCGGGAAGGAATTCCAGGCTGCCCTGGGTGGGAACGTGCCCCGGGAGCAGTTCACTGTGGTCATGCTAACTTACGAGAGAGAGGAGGTGCTGATGAACTCCCTGGAGAGACTTAATGGGCTGCCGTACCTGAACAAGGTGGTGGTGGTGTGGAACTCTCCAAAGCCTCCTTCAGACGACCTGCTGTGGCCAGACATCGGCCTGCCTATTGTGGTGAGCACAGAGTTATTAACTTGGTTATTTATTTAAAATAAAACGTACCGTTTGTTAAAAACACGCTTGAAGCTACAGTTTACTAATTGTATTTTTCTCACTTTCTGTTGATGTGTGTTAAAATGCTGTGAGTATTAAGGCCCTGTCACGCTAGACAACTTATGAAACATTTTTTACATCTAAATTGCTAATAAAAATTATATATTTGATCAATTTGTTTGAATTAGTAGTATTTATTAATTTCGTTTAAAAAACAAACAAAACAAAACATTACATACAACAAAATGCAAATAAAATAAAATGAAAGGCAGCAGAAGAAGAAAAATCTTATATCGGCTCCTATTTACAACAAAAAAATTATATTATTTTCAAACAATAGTAAACCAAATAATACAAAAATTCAACTCAAACAGTAACTCATGCAAATACAAATTAAACAATTTCATATTTCTTTAACAATTTTGCTTTGATCAATTTTTAAAGGAATTGATCCAATGCTTTTATAATCATTTTCCAGATTATTCCATAGTCTTATAGCTTTTACTGAAGTGCATCTGACCTTCAAATTTGTTCGGCTTTTTGGTTTAACAAACATTTGTAGTCTGTTCGAATTATAACAGCTTTCTTAACAAAATTAGATTGGATGTTTGAAGGTAACACATTTTTATTAGCTTTATACATAGCTTGAAGAATATGATATTCAACCAACTCATAAAATTTTAATAATTTTATTTGATGAAACAATATATTAGAAGGGTGATAGTAATGCTTTCTTGTAATAATTCTTATGGCTCTTTTTTTTATAAAATAAAAATAGGATTAGTAATGGTTTTACATGCATTTCCCCAGACTTCTATACAATAAATCATATGTGGAACAATTATTACATTATATTTAGTAAATAGTGCTTTATCATTAAATAACTCCTTCACTTTATTAGGGCTGTGTATTGGCAAGAATTTGGCGATACAATACATATCATAACAGAGGGGTCACGATACGATATATCCCGATATATTGTGATACTGTAAGCAAGGCAATATATTGCGATTTTTTTTGTCCAAAAATTCTATTAAATAAAAACCTCTTATTGGAAAGAAAAAGAAAAGCTATTGTTTACTTACAATGCTAATGCTCTCTTACTCTCTGGTGTTCAAGAGGTAGAGGAGCCAAATGGCTGGCTCACTGCTGCCAACTAGTGGTCAGAGGCTGAACTACAACATAAAAATGAACGGTTGGCAAGAAGGTTGACGTTTTAAACCTTAATTAAAAATCGATACAGGGCTTTAGAATATCGATACAGTATCGGGAAATGAAATATCGTGATATTTCAGTGTATCGATATTTCCTTACACCCCTACACTTTATACAGTACTGCATTACATTATGGACACGCCAAAAAGAAGCTTCCTGTTGATTTTTTTCAGTTCCATCTTCAATGTAGACGTCTTTAAAATGTTCACAAGTTGGCATATGTTTTCTAGTGTGACAGAGCCTTTACCAGAGTTGTCTTTTTCTTGTTTTCTGACCTCTGTTACACTTATTCCTGCAGGTCGTCCGCACAGAAAAGAACAGCCTCAACAACCGCTTCCTGCCCTGGGACGTCGTGGAAACTGAGGCCATCCTGTCCATCGACGACGACGCTCACCTTCGTCACGATGAGATCATGTTTGGGTTCAGGTCAGTGAAACGTCATCCCGACGCAAAGCAAACTTTTGTCAGAAGTGCCTAATAAGAAATAGGAATGTAAAAATGAAACATCACACAGACTTTTATCTCTAAGAAGGAAAAAAAATCAAAAACAAATAGTTGAAATCCCTGGTTCTGACAGAAGGAAAACAAAACCAGATAACGGGACAGGAAGTATAATCTGCATCTTGTTGTTTTGCACCCACTACCCTTTTTTTTCTCTGTGCTAACATACACCGAGATGTAAAGCTTTTACTTGTCCAGACAAGTAAAAGCTATGTGTGTGTATGTGTGCTGGGTCATTTGTGATGAGTTATCTCAAACTCCCCCAGAATTACTCAGGAATGTTTTCTTACTTCCACTCCAGTGGAGGAAATGTTGTGCCGCGGCCGAGTATCTGAGAAGTTTAAGTGGTTTCACATGAACTCATTAGAGGCTGTAAATTGCTTTTTGAGCTTTCTTGGATCTCCTGGGTCTGAGGGAGCAGTTCCAAGTATCTCATCTGATAAACTGAAACACCAAACAGGGCTGCTGTGTCTGTAAATGTGAGCCAAGAGGGCTGCTTTTGTTAAAACCAGTGTCTTAAAATTGTACAATGCCAATTTGGAGCTAGTTTAAATCATTATATGGATGCGCACAAATGCAGGCGTAACAACTGTTGTGAGGAAAAGGTGTCGTAGCATCAGTTTCTGCAGATTTAGTCAGTCCTGTTTGAGTGGTAAAGGGTGGATTATAATTCTTTTGTTTTTGTTTGGTAATGCTCAGAGTGTGGCGTGAGGCCAGGGATCGCATCGTGGGTTTTCCCGGGAGGTACCACGCCTGGGACGTCAACCACCAGTCCTGGCTTTATAACTCCAACTACTCCTGTGAGCTCTCCATGGTCCTGACAGGAGCTGCCTTCTTCCATAAGGTCAGAACCATCATCCTGTCATTAAAAAACAAACAACCTGCTGAGTCCTGCCTTTACTGAAATCATCCATTTTTCTTCCCTACGTTTTTCAGCGCGTAACTCTTTCCACAGTTATTATGCTGTTTCAGCATTTCATTCATCATAACAATCAGCTCTTACAGCACATACAAGCTATGACTTGTACTTTTTTCAGCTATTTAGCGTTTTTAGCCACTTTTCTCTTTGAAAATGACTGAAGCCATCTTCAACATCATTAAAACCTTTTAAAATGTTCATAAATATCTGCTGCACTTTTTACCCTTTGCTCTGGTTCTTCTTCTTTGTGCTAATTTCAGCCACTTTCTGCTTTTATTTTATACTCAGTTAAGCTGTTTTCTGCCTTTTTAAGCTAATTTCAGTTTTTTTCTACTAACTTTGCCTTTTACGATAATTTTAGCATCTTACTGCTTATTTAAGCAAATATGATCTTTCTGCTTCTTTGGGCTATTTTCAGCTTGTTTAAGCCTTTTTAGCTATTTTATCACAAATTGCACTTTTTCATTTTTCCGTTAATGTGAGCTAAAGCAGAGATTCTTAACCTGTGGGCCACAGCGCCACCTTGAGGGCCTCAAAAGAACAACAGTTTTTAACTTTGGGCCGCAGAGGGCCGTGGAACCACATTGATTTTGAATGAGGTGCAATACACTTTCTCACCACTAGTAGCAGTAGTGCACCACTCAGATGTTTAACAACGTTTTTTAATATGTAGAGGAAGAACCTTAGAAACCTGCCGAAAATGGAAACCTATTTTAAATGAAAAGTAGAAGACAAAAATGAGGGTAACCCTTTAAAAATGCCAATATTTGTCACTAATATTAAGTGCAGCCTCTGGTTCAACCATGCAATATTTTAAAAGTTCAAAACATTATCAAATACAGTTGCAGATTCGACTATATTTTAATTTGTACTTTAAATAAATTTTTATAATTTTTTAAGCATTTTGTCAAAAAGTTGTTGTTACTGTTACTGTTTGTCACTAATATGAAGAGCAGCTTCTGGTTCTACCA